TGGTGCCTTCAAAACCCCAAGCAGGGCGCGCTCTCTCAAGTTAGCGCTTGCTCACGGAGCGCCCACTCGGGGCCGTACGAGCGTGAGATCAAAACTGCCCTCTGGGGCTCATCGCCCAGGCGGCTGGTGACGGGCACTGACACAGGCAGAGGCAGAACGCTGCTCCTCTCCCCCGCAGAGCAGGGGGTGACGCCAGGATGGCTCCGAGTGCCGGTTCTGGGCTCGGTTAGCTCAGTGGCTCGCACATGCGTACGTTCAAAACATTTTGAGGATCCCGAAGGGCTTGTGTTTGTGTGGGTCACACCCCCTTTATCCTGTGTGACGCCGCCCCCGTTAGGAAATAATACAGCAGAGACATTTTCTAAGCACAAGAGTCACACCACCCGTCGTTTGCCAGAGCGACTTTGCCCCATCTGTGCAGCTTCTGGAAAGTTCTGAACACTGGGGAGAGAATGAGACTAAAAAGACAAATGACGTCGCCCCGGCCGGGCGGCGCGGGTGGGCGGAGCCTCGTCCGGATGCACCGGGGTTGCAGGTTCAGTCCCAGGTCGGAGCACACGCACAGGAGGCAGCCACCGAGGGCAGGAACAGGTGAAATGGCTGGTTGGTGTTTCTCTCTCTAAACTCAATAAATGAAAATTAAATTTTAAAAAGACAAACAACATGTTAGATTTTTTTAGGAAAGGAGTTCTGACTTTGCAGACTGCCTGAAAAAGTCTGGAGGAGCCCCAGGGTTTTCCCAAGGACACACGGAGGCTCTCGCAACACCAGAGGTGCAGGTTTTAACGGAGGGCCTGGAAGTCTGGGGGAGCCTCGATCAGGGGCAGGAAAAGCGCTCTTTTCAGAAATCCTCAGTGAAGGGGAGTCGGAGGCGGTGAGAGCAACAGTGCGAGTCATAGCAGCGGGGCCAGGCCGCACCTCCGCTCAGCAACCTCCGAGCTCGAGTTCTGGCTCAGAGAGCATTCGGAGCCGAGACTCAGACTCTAAGAGGAAGTTCAGATAGGAAGTCGCAGAGGTACAAGGCGCGAGCTGCAGGTGAAATGGGCTCAGGATACGAGTTACCCAAGAGGAGGAGGAAGGGCCCGAGGAGCTCAGGAGACACAGGGGTAGAGGTCGTGCACGGGGAGGGGGAGGGGGGAGGGGCGGAGGGGGAGAGGAAAGGTGCAGGCTTAGCCCCTAAAGGCCTTTGAGGGCAGGGATTTTATGGGGGGGCCTCAGGGGAGGATCTCAATAGACAGCCCGTCAGCGTCCCAGGTGTGTCCTGTCAGGGTCCTGGTCTCCTCCGACTGGTCAGCGCCAGGGACCAGGGCGGGGGTTGTTAGTCCTCGCAGCTGTTCCTGAGGCTGGCCAGGGCGGCCCTAGTCCCGTTCTGCTGTTTTCCTGCACCTGGCGCTGAAACACGCCTGAGGCCTGGGCGTTGTCTCTGCGGATTCCTGCTTAAGGGGGTGGCTGTAGAAAGGGCCACGTGGGAGTGCCCTGAGGCCACTGTTCCTCCGCCAAGGGGTCTACTGCGTGACCAGCGACGTGTGGCCGAGGAAGGGCCGGAACCTCGTGACCAGTGACGTGCGAGCACTGGAGAAGTCAGCCTGGAGGCCCCGCCCTGGTCTCCCCAGTGTAGCCTGTTGGCGGCACCCGGGGCCTTCCGCCCTGGTGACCCTGAGCACCTGCGGCCCGCGGGCGTGCTCTGCTGAGGTCTTAGTGCCTACCGACCTAGTAGGAGAGGAAGAAAGAAAGTTTTCTTTCATCTTCTTTGGTTGTGTTCTTGGGGCTGCAGATTAACTGACAGAAGCCACATCAACAGGAGTTAATGTGATGTTAATTAAAGAAAACATTCTCTTCATTCATTGATTTTTTTAGAGAGAGAGAAACATGGATTTGTTGTTCCAAGTATTATTCATGCATTTACTGGCTGATTTTTGTCTGTGCCCTGACTGCGGACCAAACCCTCAACCTTGGCATATCGGGAGGACACTCTCCAGTGACCCACCCGGCCAGTGCTGATGTTACTTTTTTGTAAAGATTTTATTTATTTATTTTTAGAGAGGGGGAAGGGAGAAAGAGGGAAAAGAACATCCATGTGTGGTTGCCTCTCGAGCGCCCCCTGCTGGGGACTTGGCCTGCAACTCAGGCCCGCGCCCTGCCTGGGAGTCGAACCATCAACCCCTTTCTTTTCAGGCCGGGCACTCAGTCCACCCAGGCACACCAGCCAGGGCTGCTGCTAATTTTTATGGGCACAGAAGCCTTCATGGAAAAGAGGTGGACACCCGAAGCAGTGGGTAGTGCAGGTGCTTGCAGACTACTCGATCAGATGGGAATCAGCTGAGGAGAAGTGGACGAGCCAGAGGAAGAGGGGTCTGACTTCCAGGGCGGTGAAGGGCGAGACGGCGAACAGGTGGAGGGAAGCAGGCGAGGGCAAAGGCTGCACCCTAGCGAGGCGCTGCGTGCAGACCCACCTCTGCCGGCTTTCTGCGTCGGCCCTGAGGGTGTGTCCTCCTGGCAGGGCACAGGGGTGGGGACCCCTCCACAAACGGGTCGCGGTCCTCCGGTCAGGCAGGTGAGAACAGGGCCGAGTGCGCCCCGTGCGTTTGCTGCTCTGTGATGGCCTTCCGTGAAAAAACACTCGTGCGTACAGAGCGGCCTATTTGGGGAGGGTAAGTGATCGTACTGAGATCACACTGACCCCTTCAGGAAACCGTAAGAATGCTGGGCAGCCTGGCCGCGGGGCTCACCCGGCTGGGCCGTCATCCTTTGCACCAAAAGGTGGTGGGCCTGGTGCCCAGTCGAGGCACATACCTGGGTCGCAGCTTCCCGTCCCCAGTCGGGGCACGTCCAGGAGGCAGCAAGTCACAAGGTCTTTCTCTCACACGCTTCTCTTTCTCCCTCTCGAAAATCAATACGTGTGCCCTCAGGCGAGGGTTTAAAGAAAAGAAAGAATAGGCAATACCAGACACTGAGCGAACCACACCTAAGGTCCTCGGCTCGGGCCACCCCGGCTGTCAGTCCGTCTGAGCATGCTCGCTGGGAAATGGCCTGGCGGGGGGGCGGGGTGCAGTGCCAGGGTTCGGGAGGGCAGCTGCCAAGGAAACTGAAGAACAAGGCCCCTGGGGCCGAGAGAAGGGGCTGGAGACAGCCTCCTGCTCACCCGCTCCCCGCAGCCGGGCCGCAGGGCAGAGCCCTCCAGGGAGGGAGGGGCGGACAGCCGCTCTGTGGGCCTGGGGCGCCGCGGGGGTCCAACGGCAGCACCTGCGGGGGGGGGGGGCGGGGGGCGGGGGGCGGGAGGGAGGAGAGAGGACAGCGCCGCGCGCAGCCGGGCAAACAGGAGAGGCCCGGTGAGAGGAAGTGCCCGTTCCTCCAGGGAGAAGCGCTCGCCCCTGCCTCCCTCCCCGTCTCCCCGCCTCTTCTGCGGGCTCTGTCCCCGGATGTGCCCCCTCCAGCTGCCCTCCCGCCCCCTGCCGGCCCGGACCCCTGGGAGGAACCCGTTTGCTTGCAGAGCAGCCCCCCCCCCCCCCGCTTCCTGTTTATCAAGTCCTGCTCCCACCCCACCCCCAGCTCCACACCGCGGCCGACCCCCCAGGGACGCTTGCTGAGCCTCCCCCGTTAACGCAGCCCCTGCTCCCTGGAGACCCCTGTTCCTCTAACACAACTCTTCCTGCTTCGGATCGGGAAAGTGGGGGGAGTCAGCCTCTCCTCCAAACTGGAAGCCCCTTGAGGCCGGGCGCCCGGCCTGGTTAGCGTGTGTTTGTCTATCCCAGCGCCCAGCCCAGCTTCGAACGGCCTGTCCGCTGGGCACATCATCACCCTCCCTGGGAATGCACGGCCCCTGAGTCCTCCTCCTCCCCACTCCTCACCCCACCGTCTCTGCAGATGGTTCTACTTCTGATCCTGACCTCAAACTGCCATCGCGCAGCCACTTGGAGTGGGGGAGACCCGGGGGCGAGACCTGGTCCCCCGGAGCCGTCCCAGCAGTGGAGCGGCCCCACCTGCCCCGCAGGCGCTGTGTGTGTGTGGGGGGGGGGGCACTGTCACACTCGTCCATCTCTTCCCTTTGCCTCCTGTCTCTCCCTGGATCTTGTAACCATGTCACTCTTGGTGCCCCTTGTAGTCACAGCCACTGCAGGGGTGCTCCACCTCGGGCGGGAGAGGGGAGAGGACCTGGGTGCTGACCCCCCCCACCGGTCTATTCTAAACTCGTCACTTCAAAGTGGGGCAAGGGACAGGAAGGAGGACACTCCGGAGGGGCCCCAGGGCTGAGATAAAGGACAACAGGACAGAGACCCTGTTCTAAGACCGGTTGTCCCTGCTTTCTGGAAAAGCACTGAGTCATGGTGACTCATGAATGCACCTGCACGGAAGATGCTACAGGACCCCTGACCGGATCCCTGCTTCATTATAATAACATTATAATAAATTAACATTGTGCAACCCCCTTCTCCAGTGGCCAATCAAGGAAAATCATGGGAGACCACATGCGCAGTAGCTTTGAAGCAATACAAGTACTTGTACAGGCGCAATGAAAGCCCGCCAAAACTAGCCAGGGAGGATCCGTCCTCTAAGAATAGCATCCCTCCGGCCCCTGAGGTCAATCTCTGCTGGGAGTCGACCTGCTCCCATGTCTGCGGTGTGTACTATCGCTTAATAAATCTGCTTTCTCTCTTCCTGCTCTAAAATCTGCATGTTTGGTTCAATTCTTTCTCTGCAATCATCAAGAACCTGGTTACCCATGCCCACCTGTGACAGCTGCTGACCCAGCCCCACCCACGATGGGCCAGGCCCTGCTCTGCGAAGGGGGGACCCAGCCGTCCACAAGACAGTCAGAGAGAGACCCCAGGTCAGCCCCCCAGAGGGGCCAGGGCTTCCGATAGAGGCCACCAGAGGCCACCAGAGGCGTCACCTGAAAGATTGCCAGGTCCGGCCTGCTTTCAGAGGGGATTGACGGCGGGAATGAAGGTCCGCTCCCCTCACCTGCGGTGTCCGCCCGGGACCGTGCTCCCGGCCCCAAGGTGTACGAGCTGAACGGGACGACCCACGGCCCCGAGTGGACGGTGGAGACCTACAGAGACGTGGCTTCCCTGTTTAAGAGGGAGCATCCCGGGTTTGTCGGAATGAAAATCATCTATTCAGATCACAGGTGAGCGGGAGCGCGCTGAAACGGCGGGAGGGAGAGTGGGGTGTGGGCAGAGCCCGGGGTTGGGAAGGGCCCAGGGAGGGGAGACAGGGCGAGGAGGGAGGGGGGCCAGAGGCCCCTGGGCTTGTGGGTGGGGGTGGGGAGAGTCCCAAAACCTGTCACCGGCAGCTTTCCAGACGGTGGTGCTAAGCTCTGATCCCACATCTGCCCGGGCGTTCGGGGAACTGGCCCAATTCCTCTTTAATTTGCCACCGGGGCTCTGCTCTGTGACGTGTGCGGCTGCAGGTGAGGCCTTGGTGGGCAGCGGGGCCCCGAGTGACAGCTGCCCCGGCATCCGGGTGTGGAGACCGCCGCACCCGCAGTGGCGGCGCCGGCAGGGCCTGGGGTGGGGAGGAGGACCGCTGCAGGGGCTGCCGGGGCTGCCGGGGCACAGGCCGCGCCGTCCTCACGTCTCTCTCCCTCTCCCAGGTTCAAGAACGTGTCCCTCATCACGGAATCCGTCCGGATGGCCATGCAACTTCAAACCAGATTCCCCAGGATGGTGGCAGGGTTTGACCTGGTAACAGTCTCCGGGGGCCGGCAGTGGTGGTGGTGGCGGGGGGGACGGGGGAGGGACAGCCCGCGGAGAAGGGAAGTGGAAGGGCCCGGGTGCCAGGATCGGGAGGGATTCGGGGAGCGGGCGATGATGATGATGATGACAGACGGGTGTGTTCCCGTCCCCCCCGCCTCCTGCCCCGGTTCACCCCGGCTCACCCCGGCACTGCTCACGGTCCTCTCCCTTCCGGCCACTCGGGGGAGTCACGGCCACCTACCCCCCCCATCAAAGCCTCGGCCACATGCCCCCAGCCAGGCCTCACTTCCCCCAGAGGACTCGTTGCTGCGTTAACTCGGACTCGTTGGCTGAAAGGCGCCTGGACGCCCCTTTCGGAGCCCCCACGTTGCTCTGGAGCCTTCGCTTACGTGGCCGCCCAGAGTGGCCAGAGCCCCGAGGGGGAGGTGTCAGGGGCTTGGTTTTCCGGGCCCAGGGTATCCTCCTGGGTCCCCGGGGGAGAGGCCCAAGGCTCTGCTGTGCGGAAAAGGGGCAGAAGCCCCCCCATCTCGGCCTCCGCCTCCAAGCGCGGCGGGGCACGGGGGCCTGGGCGAGGGTGCAGGTTCCGGAAGGGCCCGTGCGAGGACAGACATGGACGAGTCCTGGCGGGGGACGGGTGGCCGTCGTTCCAGGGGCCGCTGGCGGGCTCCGTTCCTGTCATGCCTACGTGCCACCCTGCCACGCCGAGTACCCGTGTCTGCTTTGACACAAAAACGTGGCAGGGCCCCCCTTACGGCTTCGAGTGGGTGCTCCGAAGGAGGGACCCCAGGGTGCGGGGCTGACCTGGGAGCTCCCTGTGGGGTCCTGGCCCTTCCCATGAGTTACAGTGGGGGGTGGTGGAGCTGAGTGGAAGAGGGGCCCTGCCAGGAAACTGCCCTTCCCCACCTCCCCCCCCACCCACCCCGGGGACCCCTGGGGGTGACTGGTCTGGGCGCTCGTTGCCTGGCTCCCTCGCTCTCTTGGTCTCTTCTGCCCTCAGCCTCTCGTTCCCGCTGGGTCTCTGTTTCCCAGTCCCCGCCCTCTGTCTCTCTTGCTCTCTGCCCATCAATCATGGTTCCTTCTCCCGAAGGAACCCAGGGTAAATCGTGGGGGGCTTGGGAGACGGTGCGGGGAGACGAGATGGGAAGGACTCAGGGGGGATTCTCTGGGAGCGAGCATGCGCTCTTTTCTGTCCTAACTCTGCCGTGGGGGACGAAGTCCTCCAGCCACAGAGGCAGGGTCCAGGGGAGGGCGCCCCCAGGCGGCAGGGCACCACAGCAGAGCAGAGCGAGGCCGGACCCTGCCGCCGGCGGCCCCACGGCCCCTCCTCCCTGTGCTGCAGGTGGGGCGGGAGGACACCGGCCACTCCTTGCACTACTACAGGAAGGCCCTGACGCTTCCCGCCGCGAGAGGCCGCACGCTGCCCTACTTCTTCCACGCCGGGGAGACAGGTGAGCCGCGTGGGGAGGGCTGCTCAGGGCGCAGAGGAGGAGGAGACGGGTGGGCGGGGAGAGCGCCCACGGGCAGGGTCTGCTCCCATCCCGGCAGCAGCCGGCTCAGTCCCCGCGGAAGGAACCTCTGCGGCGCCAACAGCGGCCCGTGCGGTACTTCAGACCCGCCCCCAGCCCCCGTTCCGCACACACGGCGCTCAGGGCTCCGAACGCAGTGCAGACCGTGCGGGGCAAAGGCGCGGGGCTGTACTCGCGCCCCTGGTTTGCGATAATCTCCGTTTTATAACGAGCGGCTCGTGCCCGAGGGGTCCGCTCACCTTTCCAAAGTCACGCCCTGGAAGCGACCTGCCCTGGCACCCAGGGGCCCTGTCCTCACGCCTCCGTGCCCAAGCGGAGACCCTGCGTTGCCCTGTGGTCTGACCACCATTGTTTCCGACACGCCCTGAGCTCAGCATGTGCCCCGCCCCCCGGCCCTCGGGCCCCCGGCCCCCCAGCCTCGGTTGGAGAGCTCGGTGGTCTCCCAGCTCCTCCCACAGCCCGACGCTGAGCCGAAGGAGTCTCAGATCACGGCTGCAGCGTCAGATCAAAGGGACCGTTTGGGGGACCCAGACCAGGAGAAGCGATGGCTGCTAGTCGTCCCCTCCCCCTCCCCCACCTGGGGCCGCGGGTCCTGGCACCTGGCACCTGGCACCTCGGAGGAGGGGCGGCAGGGAGCTCGGGTTTCTCGGCCAGGCCTCATCCGGGGGCAAAGGCCTCTCTGTCTGGACCTTCCGAGTCGGGTCGGACCGCAGCTCTCCCGAGCGAGCTGAAGAGCTGTTTGTGGGTGAGGGGGCGGGGCTGTCCACCTGGAAGAGCCTGGGGCCTCGCTGGGGAACGGCGCACCTGTGTGAAATCAGCTCTGCGCAGTAACTAACTCGGGATCCGGCCCGATTCCGGGACGCGCGGACCCAGGAGGAGATTTCTGCCAGGACCTGGGTGTTCAGTATCCCAGAGCAGTGCCCGCCCCTCCCTCTTGAGAGGAGACGCCCTCGCGAAGAAAGGACCAGATGGGAAACCACTGACCATCCACCCAAAAACACACACCCTATTCGGCAATGGGAACTTCTGGGGGGGCTTTATTCCTAACGGAAAGGGGCGATTTTCCCATCTTACTCGTGGATCGGCCTGGGAGCTTTGGGCCGCCCGGAGTGGAAGGCACACACGCCCGGCAGGCTCAGCGGCGGGGCCCTCTGTTGCGTCACAAAACGGTACACGTTTCCTTCAGGAGAGGAAGCCCCGGAGGCTCCTGGCCCGTGACCCCGCCGGCCGGCCGGCCTCGGGCCCTCCCAGCCGCAGGGGAAGGACGTCGCCACAGGAGTCCTCACCCTCTGACGCAGGCCTGGCTGCAAGGCGGGTGCCGTGGGGACAGCGGGGACCGAGGCAGCCAGGAGCACCTGCCATGGCCTTGTTCCCACCGGCCGCTGAGCTCTGTCCATGGCTGTCGTCCCCAGAGCCCTGTTAAAGGGTAGACAGCAACGTAAGGGCGCACAAACAGTTGTGTCGCTAGCGTCTGCAGCACGTGGTCATGACGACTGCAAACATTGAATCCCCAGAAAGCAACTCTGGGAACACACACACACACACACACACACACACTCACACGCGCGCGTGGAGAGAAGGCGTAGGGACTGCAGGCTGCACGGACCCAGGAGGGAATCCCAGCCTGGTTCCTGCTGAGAGTCTCGCTCCGCCCACGAAGCCTGAGTCAGTCCCAGCTGCCCCGTGTGTCACGTGCACACGCACACACGTGCTTGCACACGCACACACGTGCTCACCGAGCAAAGGCCCGCCATGCTCTCCTGAATGTTGTTGGGAAGGAAATGTGTGTGTGTGTGCCTCTGGGTTTCATGGCTGTTCAGCTTGCTGTTCTTCCTGGGGGGGCTGGAGGGTTCACCTGAGGAATACCTGTGGGTCAGGTCCGCCCTCTGGAAGACTCCCCCTCTCCCCAGACTGGCAGGGCACTTCGGTCGATGGAAACCTCCTGGAAGCCCTCGTACTGAACTCCACCAGGATTGGCCACGGGTTTGCTCTGACCAAACACCCGGCCGTCTGGACTGAGTTGTGGAGGAAGGACATCCCGGTAGAAGTCTGTCCCATCTCCAACCAGGTGGGCGCCGTCCAGTACAGCGTTTGCCCCAGCCCCACCCTCTGCTCTGACCCCCAGAGTTCCTCCTGTACGGCCTCCCTCTCCGTGGCTCTCTGGTCCCCCGTGTCCCCCACTCCTCCCACCCGGCTGAGTACGGCTGCTGAGGGACGGGCCCTTGCCTGACCCAGCCCGAACCCCGAACAGTGAGGCTGCCGTGAGGGGCCCCGGGGAGGGGGGTGGAACTTTGGGCCAAGCTGTGGACAAGGCTAGAGGGACCCTGGGGTGGGGGGTGCAGGGAAGTGGCCGGCGCTGTGGGTGCTGCTGCTCCCACGGGCGCTTTAGGAATCTGCCCATCTTGCTGCGTCCGGGCCTGCTGCTCCGAGCAGGACGGAGCAGGACCGATGCTTGTGTGTGGGGGGGTGAGCCTGGGAGGTTAGGAGGAGCGGGGTCAGGGGTCGGGGGGCATGGGCCATAGCCCCGCGTTAGGACTTTGTCCAGAAGGGACCCCCACACTCGGAAGGGGGCGGAGCTAAGGCAGGAAGACGGGAGCCCCCGGTGCTTCCCGGGCCAACCTTCCTCCTGACGGCTCTTCCCGGGTCACAGTGTGTCCTCCCCCCGGCCTCCCCCTGGGCAGGTTCTGCAGCTGGTGTCCGACCTGAGAAACCACCCCGCCGCTGTCCTCATGGCCACCGGGTTCCCCATGGTGATCAGCTCGGACGACCCCGCCATGTTCGGGGCCTCGGGCCTGTCCTACGATTTCTACGAGGCCTTCATGGGCATCGGCGGGGGGAAGGCCGACCTGAGGACCCTCAAACAGCTGGCCCTGAACTCCATCAAGTGAGTGGCCCGGGCCGCGCTCGGACCCCCGCCCCCAGAGCCCGCACGCTGCCTTCCCATGGGGGTCTGGCGCAGAAGCCTGGACGGGATCCGTGCGTGTTCTCCACACGGTCTCGGGTCCGTGACTGCTCCCAGATGGGGGGGAGGGGTGTGTTCTGCCAGCGTCCGGAAGTCCCGCCCCTTCCTGTCCTGCCCCCCAACCCTTCCCGGGGCTGACCTGGCCTTCCCTTCCCGGGCAGGTACAGCGCCCTGCAGGACGCGGAGAAAAAGGCCGCCCTGGAAACCTGGGCGGAGAGATGGGACGCCTTTGTAGCCGAGCTGGCCGGAGGCTGGAGCGAGGAGACAGCCGCGTAGGCCCCTGTTCCCAGCTGTCCGCCACGGGCCGTCTCCCTGCCGCTCCGTTGTTCCTGAGTCCACTCCGGGCCGTCCCCACGCCCGTTTCTTCGTGCAGATCAGCAGAAGCCTTCCATCTGTTTAACATCTCAGAAATACTCCATCAGCCCTGGCGGGGGTGGCGCATGGGTTGAGTGCTGGCCTGGAAACTAAAGGGTCACCAGTTCGATTCCCAGTCAGGGCACAGGCCTGGGTTGCGGGCCAGGTCCCCAGCAGGAGGCGCACAAGAAGCAACCACACACGGATGTTTCTGTCCCTCTCTTTCTCTCCCTTCCCCTCTCACTAAAAATAAATAAAATCTTAAGAGAGAGACATGCTTGATCAAATGAACTTAGGTTTTTTCAAAGTATATTTTATTGATTATGCTATTACAGTTGTCTCATTTTTTTTCTCCCCTTTATTCCCCTCTGCTCTGCACCCCCCCCACCAGCATTCCCCCCTCCCCCCGCCCTAGTTCCTGTCCATGTGTTGTTCATATAAGTTCTTTGGCTCCTCCATTTCCCACACTATTTAAACTTCCCCGTCTATTTTGAACCTACCATTTATCCTTCTTATTCCCTGCACCTTCCCCCCCCTCCTCCTCCCACTCCCCTGTTGATAACCCTCCATGTGTTCTCCATTTCTGTGATTCTCTTTCTGTTCTAGTTTGCTTAGTTCATTTTTTTTTTTAGGTTCATTGTTGGTAATTGTGAGTTTGTTGTCATTTTACTATTCATAGTTTTGACATAGTAAAAACTTCTTTTTTTTAGATAAGTCCCTTTAACATTTCATATTACAAGGGCTTGGTGATGATGAACTCCTTTAACTTGACCTTATCTGGGAAGCATTTTATCTGCTGTTCCATTTTGAATGGTAGCTTTGCAGGATAGAGCAATCGTGGATGTAGTCCTTGACTTTCATGAATTTGAATACTTCTTTTCTGCCCTTCTAGTCTGTAAGGTTTCTTTTGAGAAATCAGCTGACAGTCTGATGGGAACTCCTTTGTAGGTGACTGTCCCTTTATCTCTTGCTGCTTCTAAGCTAGAGAGAGAGGGAGACTTCATGGTCTCAGGCTCAGGGACACCAGCGCTCCGGGTTCCCTCCTCTCTCTCTGGCCAGTGCGCCGGGGCCCTCTCCACATCCTCCTCCTCCTCATCTGGCCTCTGTGTCGGGCCTTCCCAGCACTTCCTCCCTGTCTTCTGTGCGTGCCTCTTCGCTTCCTCCCCCCCCAGTACTCTTGTACCATGTAGTCTCGTTCATGCTTTTGCTTTTAAATACCATTCATTTGCGAACAATTCCCAAGTGTATTTATTCACTTAGACGGCCCATGGGCATCTCAGAAACCTACTACGTGCCATTCTGAACTCTCAGTCTCTTCTCTTTTGATCTTTTCCTGGTTTTTCCCCATCCTGGGAAATAGCACCTTCCTCCACTCCACCCAGTAGCTCGAAGCAGAAATTTCCCGTGAAATCTTGACGCTGCTCCCTCCCCGCCCCCTACAGCGGGCTGTCTCCTAAAGCCGCCCGAGCCTCTCCCCTCCACTGCTGTCGGCTGAGCTCAAGGCCCTGCTGCCCCCCCCGAAATTATGACAATGGCCTTCTAATTCATCTCCCCTTTCTTCTCTTTGCCTTTTCCACTTCATTTTTCACAAAACAATGGCTTTAAAAGAGTCACATCAATTCAGCCCTGGCCGATATGGCTCCGTGGTTGGAATGTCGCCCTGCACACCAGAAGGTTGTGGGTTTGGTCCCTGGTTGGAGCGGGGAGCGGAGGCAAGCGGTCCACGCTTCTCTTTCACATCAATGTTTCTCTCCCACCCTGTCTCTCCAAAGTCAATAAATATATTAGAAAAAAAAGTTAATGCAAATGAATTCAGACCACTCCATTGCTCACAGCTCAGTGCACTCAGAAAACCACAGCTGTCTCAGCAGTGCCTCCTGTTGGACCCACGGCCTTCTTGCCTCCACCGATGCCGGTGACCCTGGGAGCGTGGACTCTGGCTGCTGGGCGGGGTCTTCTGCTCCTCGGAGAGCCCAGCCTCTGTGCTGCGTGGGGCTCTCTCCTCACTGCCTCCGCCCGGGCTGCTCCTGTTCTCCACCCCCAGGGTTCCACCGACCGCTGGGCACCTTTCGGGTTTCGGGTTCATAGCACTGTCTCAGAAAGGCTTCCCACATTCCCCGACCTGGCAGCACCTCTCGTGACACCTTCTCGATCGGTAACTCGACGTTTGTTTCTGGGTTCGTCTCCCTCCCAGCAGACTGGATGCCCCGTGTGGACACGCACTAATGACTGTTTCATGTGCACATGGCCCCGGAGCCCGGCTCTGTGCCGTGCCCCGAACCTCGTCGGTACCCAGGAGAAGACGCAGTGAACCAAGGGACACAGACCTACATGGGCTGGGCTGGGTGCTGAGACGGGAGGGGGCCGAGCGGAGTGTCCCCTACAGAAGACCTCACGCCAGAGGCAGGCTGTGCCTGTTTGACTCTCCAAGCCGCCCAGCATTCTGGAGCCTGCCACAGCCCCCGAGGCTAGAACCCCAAAACAACCCTTTTCCTCAGGCCAGGAGTTGGAAAGACTGAGGTTGTCCTTGCTTCTCACGAGAACTGATCAGTGAAGGACGGAATATACAATATACACCTGTATTTACAGGCCAAAATCGTCAGTATACCAGGTTACAAATATTTTCATGTAATATATTTCACATAATACTCGTCGTATATGTTACTTTACATAGCTGTCATCCTGAAATAACACTCTGCTTTGCCCCGCCCTGGCCAGGTGGCTCCGGTGGTTGCTGTTGCCCAGATGCGCCAGAGTTGTGCGTCGGAACCCTGGTCCAGCACCATACGAGAATCAACCAATGGATGAGTGGATGCGTGGAACGGCAAATCAATGTTTCCCTCTCTCTCCAAAAATCGATTTTAGAAAGTCATCCTTGTCCTTTCTTCTGTCAGGGCGGGTCGGGCTGGGGGAGCTCTGGGGGCCTGGGAGCAGCGTGGTGGGGCCGGAGCCGTTTGGGATGGGCTTCAGCCCGCGCCGTGTCCCCAGGCCTCGACGCTCAGGCACAAGGGGCTGCCCCGCAGAGCTTTGTGGCCTCATGTCGAGGTTTTCCAGCTAATGTCCTCCTCACGCTCCACCTCCAGGGCGCCCCGACCCAGCCTGCAAAGGGCCTTGCCCGGAGGCTGTCCACAGACCCTGCGCGGGGCGGCAGCCAGCCCCTCGGCAAGCACAGAGTTGGGAGAGGCCTGACGGTGGCCGCATCTAACCTTTGGGATCCGGGGGCCTGATACCGGCGGGCGTTCCCGTCCACTCCTGGGGGCCCGGGCAGCTTCAGCTCCCACCCCAGCCCCCAACCCCCCCAACGGCGCCCTCGTGTCTCCCGGAGGCCAGCAGGCCTCAAACTCCCAGGGGCGGCGCCGCCCGCCCCCCGCCCCCGGGGATGGGATGACCCCTCGCGGGACCTTTGGCGGGCTCCCAGTCCCGGAAACGGCCTCAGTTTCCTGTCCCCACCCCCACCTCCCCGCTGAGACCCTGATTCCTGGAACCCAGGGCCTCTGCCCGGCCGGGAGCCTCCCCTTTGTCTAGGGCCCGCCCCTCACCCCCGCCTGCGGACGGCTGTGGCCCTCCCAGACCCAAGGACTGCCATTTAGTGGGAACCGGCCGAGACGGGAGCCTGCGGAGAGCAAATGGCGAGGAGCGCGAGCCTGGGGCTGGCAGGAGAGACCCTTCCCGGAGCAGCCTCCCGGCCCGCACCTGTGGCCCGAGCCCCGCGCGGCGCGGCGCGGCTGCCCCCTGGCGGCCCCGCGCGGAGCCACAGGGGCCCGCTCCGGGGCTTCCCGCGCGCTCTGCTGTCGCCACCCGTCGCCGCTCAGAACGACACGTAGTGGCTGTAAAATCTGCTTGTGGACCGTGGTGTCTGATGCGCAAAGTTAAAGGACGTGGCCCAGGGTGGGAGAGTAGTGCCGTCACGAGCTTCAAATTTTATTACATTTAAATAAACATTGTATACGGTCACATTTATTACTTATTTATTTTTTATTTTAGAAAAAGAAAAGGGACACATTGGACAGTCTTCCGTCCACGCCTACATCCTCCCATTCTCTTTCCCACCCCGCCCATTTTTCCCACCAGGTCTTAAGTTTCTTGTGTTTTATGCAAAACAAATGCAAATATAAATATTCTGTATATAAATATTCCCCTTTCTGACTTAACAGACAGCATATTATCCACGCTGTTCTGAACTCTGCTGTTTTGATTTAGCAATGGGTCCTAGGGACCTTTCCATTTTGGTACTTACAAAGTACTTTTTTATAACTGGGGGAGTTTCATTGTGGGGACACACTCTAGTTTAATTAATAAAGACGTTCCAGCCCCTACACATTGGCACCTGGATTGTTTTTAAAAATCTGTTATTATAAACATTTTTATTTTATTTTATTTTGTTTTATTTTATATTTATTTCATTTATTTATTTTATTTTTATTTATTTCATTTTATTTTTATTTATTTTATTTTTTTCTATTCCATTCTATTCTAGTCTATTCTACTCTATTCCTGTTTATCCCCACCCAGGGACGCGCTCACTGACCTTGGAGAGAGAGGAAGGGAGGGAGAAAGACGGGGAGAGAAACAGTCACCCGCCCCTCCCAGTACGCGCCCCAGGCATGCGCCCTGACCAGGAATGGAACCGGCGAACGTTCGCTTTGCTGGACGACGCCCAGACCACAGAGCCACACGGGCCAGGGCTCATTCATTCATTCTTTTCTTTGAATGCTTCTGACCCTTGCCTCATAGTTAGGAAGTTTTCCCTACCTCCGGGTGATAAAGAAATTAACAGATTTTCCTCACGTACAAATCAGGGTGATATCAAGCGGCAGCAAGACGGGATTTTAAAGAGAAATCTACACATCCCCACTGCTGGGAAGGGGTGAGGGTGGAAGGGGGACCAGAGGGCAGTGTGGGGAGCTCGGCTCCTGTTTATGGGGCTTCTCCGGATTTGGGAAGGGCCGTGTTTAGGAACTGGGAATTCTGGTGCGCCAGGTCCTCTCCCTGTCTCCCTCAGGAGGTTAGCAGGCTGTCCACCCCAGAGAGTCCCAATACCAAGGAGTGTGCCCCCCAGGGGACATTGGGCATGCGTGGAAACATTTTTGGCTGTCGTTTCAACTGCGGGAGGGGGTGCTATTGCCAGAAACTTTGCTAAACATCCTACAACGCTCAGAACAGTCGCCAACAGCAAAGACTCAAAATGTTGGGTGTGCAGAGGTGGAGGAAT